TCTTCTGTTTCTTTTTATCAATTGATTTCCAAACAGTAAAAAGTATCTTCATCTTTATATGATAATAATAATTGCAGATAATCAACAAATGATTAATGACCAGCATTACATAAAGCAGCAACATCATCTTGAATCATAAGAAGATCTTGTGGACTAAGTATTTTATTAGCTATTGCTTCTCTTAAACATGCTAATGTTTTTGATTCATATTTAACACGATAAAGACCAAGAGAATTATAATTTAGTTTAAATCAATCGTTTTCCGAAATATTATCTAATATTATTGTTATTTCAGATTGAGCCATTAATATTTGTTTTGACAATTACTTTTGGATTTGATTTGATAAAAATAGTTATGGGAATATTCCATTGAAGATTTTCATCATCAGTACTACCATCAGCAATGAAGCGTTATTGTTTTAATTTGATAATTCGTGTTTGGTTTGGTTGTTGTTTTTCGGTTACAGTTACTAGTGGATAACCCTAGATAATAGAATAAACCAATAATGGATTTTATTTGTATAAATTGATGTAAATCTTGTGCATTCTTAAAATGCTAAAATGACTCCAGTTTATGCCTTATTCATGTGGAATTATGTCCGCTGTATTGAATTTTCATCTTATGAGAATGTTTTGAAAGTTTCAGTTAGAATGAATTTTTTTTCTTGACAAGATAATGATTGTCTGAATAATGGTTCGCTTTCATAGGAAGACGCTTCAAATCGACTTTGTTGGTGTATACGAAATCTAGAGAAGACTGTTCTTTGAGGTAATATTTTTAGAGCATTTTCATGACTTCGTAATCTATCTCTAGACAAAATCTTAGGTTAACAGTTCAGAAGACGAGCTTTCATAAATGTCATAATTAAAAGAGAAAGATGTACTTAAGGGATTACAATTCTATATGATTGAAGCATGAACACAGGCTCTTTTAGATTTCTTCTAGTCTTGCCAAATCCTATGCACAGATAAGAACTAAACTTGATCGATGAGTTATATTTGAAAACGTAGACATAACTGTTAATTATACCATCCATTAATTTTACGAGATTATAAACCAATAGGTAAGGATTACTGTTATCTCTAATCGTATCAAACGAAAATTCAATAACTATATAAGCAGAAATGTGAAATGAAACATACCATTTGAAGTGGCCATGATGACATAACTTCATTGACTGATTTATTAAATGCTTTAGACAAATGTGACCAAAGATTTACCGTAATTATATTTTTTATAACTATATTCTTTTAAATAATTATGAAGACCTTTTCGAAAAGCATCATCGCCAATATAATCATGTAACATACGAATTATGGAAGAACCTTTTGAATATGAACTTTCATCAAATATTTCCTCAATTTCAGTAGGATGTCCTAGAAAGAAAAGCAATATGTGTTGAAACAAAAAACAACATTCTATAAAAGATATTTACCAATAGGTACTTCAATTGAATGTGATGATTTTAATGCATCAGGTATAAGAAATGATGCAAATGTATCAGCAATAAATTGTGTCCAAATATCAAATTCTGGATAAAATTTATCAACATCTAAATATTCAATCCATGAGACAAATCCTTCATTAAGCCCTAAAATAAATTGAAAGCATATAAAAATTCTTTTCATTTTATTTTTTTTTACATAAATCAGCCCACCAATTCGTTGTCTATATATAAGAAAAAACAAAATTTAATCTTATTGGGTTGGTGTGAATGCCTTGATGAACGAAACAGATAAACTCACACACCAACTCACAACTACACCTTCACCCAAGCCCTACCCACACTCTCACACCACACCCACACCCTCAGGAAAGTACTGAGAGAATTAGCGATGTGAAAATTATACTTAATACATTTCCAAGTCCTTTTCACGAAGTATCACGAAACATGACGAATCCAGCATTACTGCATTTTTCATTTTGTCTTTATGATCTTGTTCGTATCCTTTAAATTCTGTTGTAAATTCGCAGTCGAGAAAGATTTGCATGAGATTGTTCTCATAATTATCAAAGATGACAAGTCATACACCAGCGCGAGGAAGTGCAATCATTTTGCAATCAGACGATGGCAACATTATTTTAACCGACTCAAATGGTTTCTTTGCAAAACTAACCACATATAAGACGCATTTGTATTGTATATGCATGACTAAGGCAACTGTATGTCGGTTATCTCGTATAACAATGATTTTACACTCGTCACTTTCGATTTTTACCCTTCTAACGCGACCCGAATTCGCTTCAGCAGGTATATCGCGTCCAGTCAGATAGGCAACAGTATATTGACGAACAAACTTGAAATCTGGTAATTGGGTGTGGGTGTGGTGTACTTGTCTTTTCATCGAACGCATCCACACTCACACCTAAAATGTAAAGCGAATTCAATAAATATAAAATTGACAAACAGATGATTATCACTTTCAAGTGAAAGACTTCGATGATTAGAATAGTGCGCTAAACATGGGTTGTATATCAATTGGAAATGTTATGTTACCGATCACTCCTTTTCTTCAGGGTCATAAAATAACTTATTGTACTCGATGTTGGTGTATTGAACACCTGAGAAATAAATGTCAAACATCATCTGCTCGTTATCATATATGCCTTGAAGAAATCACTGAGAAGCCAACCTACAACTATTTACAACAACGAAGGTGTGCCCAATTTGATGAAAATCATCACTTACTTAGTAGCCAATGTCAGAATATTAAAACATATAAAGCACATCTAAAAGAGAATGTCAATATTGCACTTTCACGTGGTTTTCTGCGTCGACTAGAACCTCTGAAGCAAATGCCAAATATCAATCCAGATAGCTTCTCACTCTTTTCACGTCAAATTCAATACGTCGTACCTATTTGGGGATCAAAGCAAATCCCTGGTCAACAATCAGCTGACAAAGTAAATGTCCTTACAGCACTCACTAAACAGTTAACTGTTATGATGGAGAATAATCCACGAATGGAAAAGAAACTCAAAGAAATGAATGTACGTTTTAATTATGAAACACAAGTTTTGGAATTATGACGATGGATCAATGTTCAACAAGTGTCCGTGATAGCTTTCCACTTATTTGCTATAGCCATTGTCGGCATATTCTTTGCTTCGAACATTTTTTTCAATAGTTATAATTTCCATCAATAAAAACTTTTGTGTCTAATGAACTTTTTTCCTAATAAATGAACTCAGCCTATTCCTACAGAACGTATTCTATAGGGTATATATGATCTCAAAATTGTATAAGAGAGCTCTATGGAGGAAAGATGATGTTCCCTTGTAAAACAAACGGTCAAAAAATATGGAAAACCCAAAGATTCTATACAAAATAGTCTTGTATGGCGATGATTTTCGTATTCAATGTTTGTTGATATAAAAAACTGCATATTTTTCTCTCAAACTGCATCAAACTCATCATTTTCTATATTGATTCGGAGTAATTTCTCTAGAGTAGATGTTATTTTCTGCGTAGAATTTTATATTCATTGAATAATTCAAAAGAAAATGACCTCAACAAATTGTTTCTATAATACATCTTTTCTAAGAACAGCATAGTTTTGAAGCGATAACTATTCTTATCGCTACGACTTAGATGTCAGCAGTAAGATCTACTGTCCTTTGATTACTTGTAGGTAATGCTTCATGATAAAAGTAAGCATAAAATCATCTATTATGCTTCCCCTTGAATGTAATAAATGTATGTAATTTTGATAACGGTTTGCCCTAACGGTAACCATGACACTGAGCAAAAGCGAAGAAAGTTGCACCGGTACTTTTATCATTGAATGGTTTACTCACATTTATGTTTTACACTGAGACGAGAATAGTATTAAGCTCTGTATACATTCTTGGATGTAGCCGTTGTACAAAATACTCGAAATCCGCATTCGAGCTGGATAAGAGTCTACAATCGATGAAGTGTGATGTATATGAGTTTGATTGAGACATTGTTTTTCTATTGACCTTGATCGAAATAATAAAAATATTGTTAACTCTTCAAAAGTACATAGAGATTTCTCTCCACAAATTGTTTATTTCATAATACTTATGTGATAAGAAACAGCGAAAAGATAAGAACAAAGACAGGGCAAACTTGTGCAAATAACAATTTTATATCGATACTATTGACGTCACTGCAAGTTAAAAGTATTAGGAGACAATTTCGCCTACAATTGACTGAATTATAGAGATCCCTAATAGAATGAAAAATTTACAAACTTCTCTTATTAAATGAATTTTTCTATACAACTCAGTGATCGGATGGTTTTGAAATTTTCAAGGTTCATGTTTGACAAGAGGTTCAACAAGATCGCTAACTATTACGAGCCGAAGTAAGTTTTTATTATCAATTGAATATATCAGGTTAGAACGAATCGTTGACTGCGTATTTCAGACCTTGTTATCTAATAGATTAGTCGTTCGAATGTCTTCACCGTCTACACTACTACTTCAATTTAAGATTAAAAGCATCTTGTTTATCGTTTACGAAGCATCAAAATTATTGCTGATCATTTCGAATCTACAAAGATATGATAATCTGATAAAACCTAGATATTCTTCTCTCTTTTCAGATTTCCAACTGAGAATGTTACAAATAAGAGTCAAGTTATTTGTATTGCTTGTGTTGGAAGTTTTCTTATGTTCGCTTGCGGAAGACAAACCAAAGTTGACGCTGGATGAATTCTTCAATTATGTAGACTACCCAACTGTAAGTTTTTCGCCAACAGGTCAACATTTGCTCATTGTAACCTTGCAACCATTATGGGAGACCAATTCATATTCGTTCAGTTTATGGCTATATGATATTCAGCAACAACAAAAACGATTGATTACAAAAGACTTAAGCGGCTATATGGTACCCATGTGGTCGCCAAGTGGAAAATGGGTGGCATTTTTTATGAACAATAATCCAATCACAAACAGCTCTCGACGTTCGTTGGAAAAATTAGAAAGAACCGAACAACACATGTACTTCTATTCGGTTGCAACAGACAAACTCATGTCTGTTCAAATTGGAACTGTTCGACCTTTATTTGTCACATGGCCTGATGATGATAGATTTCTTTACTTTGTTGCAGCGGCAGTATGGTCAAAAGAAGAGGAGGATGTGCATAGAGCAGAATGGAAAGACGTGATTAATTATAGACAGAGTAAACCTGGTGAAGGAAGTGTTATCTATAGAATGGATATCGACACGAATAATCCAGTTCTATCTGCAAAAGTCAGCATTGTAGCGAATGTTTCCTTGCTCATCACCGAACTTTTGTATGTGCCATACGGACAACAGCTTGTTTTTACATCGAGAGGAAGAGCTTACGAAGATTTAGACGATTTCGAAATATATTCGATTCATTTAAATAGTTCATCATCATCATCATCATCATTATCAAGATTGACGTACATGGAAGGAGTTGAACAAGAATTACAATTATCAAGTGATGGTAAACATGTATTATTTCGTTTATGGGCTCTTAGTTCAGGTAAAGTTCAAACTACTCAACGACGACTCTATTCATTGGATTTAACCAACGGTCAAGTTGATCGACTAGGAAAAAACTTTGATGGTCTTGTCACACAATACACAGTTAAATCGGGCGGTGGTGTGTATATCATTGGACAATTGGGACTCAATGTCCAAATTTATACCCAAGAATCGTTGACAGATGACGCAATTTACCAACAAGGATGGAACGGAACCTATGAACGGTTTACTGCGTCTTCACATCGAGCAGGTGGTCCAGTTGCATTTGCTTTTTCATCTTCAGAACGACCAAAAGAGGTGTATTTAGCTGAGAGTATTGATCAACTTATGTCAGCCAAACCGATTACAAACGATAACGAATTATTTACACAACGAGTTTTACCTCAAGCAACGGCATACCACTGGAAAAATACGGCAGATAATCAAGTGATAGAAGGCGTTTTACACTATCCGCCGGGAAAATTCAATGCAAAAAATTTGCCTCTATTAGTTCTTATTCACGGCGGTCCAAATGCAGCCAGTCTAAATGAGCTCCAAGCCACTTGGAACTGGGCTACTATGGCTGCTACTGAAGGCTGGCTAGTTTTAGAACCTAACTATCGAGGATCAACGGGCTATGGCGACAAATTTCTTGGTGAAATTCGTCATCGACCTCTTTCATTACCTGGTCAAGACATTCTCATGGGAGTCGATCAACTGACGAAAGATGGCATTGCTGACTCGAAAAGACTTGCCGTCGGGGGTTACAGCTACGGTGGTTTTCTGACGAATTGGCTCATCACTCAAACAACACGTTTCAATGCAGCTTTGTCAGGTGCTGGCGGCATTGAGCATGTTTCTGGTTGGGGCACTATGGATTTGCCATTACTGCTTAGTTATTTACACGGAGGTTTCCCTTGGGAAGTACCACAAGTCTATCAAAGTGAATCTCCAATTTATTATATGAATAGAGTACGTACACCAACACACATTGTTGTAGGTGAAAATGATGTACGAGTCGATGCTGATCAAAGTTTTATTTTGGAACGTAGTCTTCACTATCTTGGAATACCTGTACAATTGTTAGTTTTTCCAAACGAAGGACATGCTATTGCAAATTTTCCTTGGAGTGGAAAAATTAAAGTTCGGGAAGAACTCAAATGGTTACAGAAATACGGGAATCAGTCACTATCGAGTGGATGTTCTGTAAAGATTAGGTCTCTTTCTATCATTTTTACATCATTATCAATGTTCATTTCAACGATTTACTTCTTTTAAAAATTGCTCTTTCAAGTATTTGAAAAGTGAACTCGTCTTTTGAAATAAATGAAAAGATTCGAAAGAACGAAATGTATGTCATGGCTATCTAAGCAAAAAAATGATTATTTACGATAAAAAATCGATTAAGTAGTGAACAGTTCTTTAATTCGGAACTAGAACAATATTGATCTTTTTCCAAACTATCTTGATAGAAGGTATTCTATAAATGAGAGGTTAATATGGATCAAACAAACGGATTCGATTAAAAAAGTTTTCAGTACAATTCGTGCGGGATTAAAAAATGACATGTGATGGAGCCATTTCAATTGGATATCGATATACTTCATACTTTTGTAACGATACCGCACGAGATGAATAGAGAATAATCTCCATTTGTCTATAAGATATGTGTGGGTGTAGATGTAGGTGAAGAGAAGTTCCACAATCACCTAAATATTTCGGGTTACACTGGTAGTTATTAATTCTTCCAATCATCAGATTCTACCTGGCGCTACTGTAAACGCATAGTATTAGTCAAGTGCTATTTCATCACTGATATATAATATATTTATGGAGAATATCTTTCTACTTTTACTTAATTTTCGCTAATCATATTGATATTGAATAATCAAGAGACAAACCGAATGAATTGTACTCCAAGTATTAGCATATAATTTGGACTCAATAAACACATCTTATGATTGACTAATGAATGTGATTTTTTTGTAATAACAAACTCCAATATGCAATAAACCGATTGAGTATTGTGGAAGGATTTTTTCATGTTATCTATTAAGGATGTGTGAAGTCAGTCTATATAAGAGTGTTGAAGAATGGCTAGAACAGTCAACCATAACTAGAATGAATCGATAGGTAGACAAGGTGGCATTCCAAACTGTCATAGACATTATGATGATCGTTGAAAAACTCAATCATTTCAAGCTACATAAGTGGAAAAGCGTGAATGAAAAAGGTGTCTATTGGAAAAAATGTTCAAATAGAAAAGTAAATTTTGTTTTCATTAAAACTCGATTGTCTCAAATGTCTTCTCTTACCTACTAGCATAATTGTATGTGTTACAATTCATGCACATATATGATGCGAAAAAAAATAAATAAAAAAACTAGCAGTTAATTGTTCATATAAACATAAAATACTAGTTACAACACTCTTCATAGAATGTCGAATGAGATACATCATTTAACTATTCTTCAATGAATAATTCATCTACAATAGTTTGCATTGAAGTATTAGTTAAAAATGCCTTGGCAATCATGAGTTCAGAACGTTGAAATTCTCTTCTGATCACAAAGAACCCGATACTGTTAATGCATTATCATGGAATCAATTAAGACATGTTTGATTGTAGAAACATTCGAGAGTCGATCGTAACACTATTTCAACTGTTGAACAGTTTGAATTCCACCCAATTCAGCACAATCACTTTGATTTCAACATGAGCAATTTGTATACTTTACTTTTATTCATTTAACATTTGTGAAGTGGCAAATGATTGAAGAAGAAATCGATTAGCCTAATTGTTTACTGTTAATAATGATAGTGTCCATAATGATGATAAAAGTTGAAAGTATGAGTATCGACGCCAACATAGACTAGTTTTTATGAAAAAAAATGGACCATGAATAACTCATTCATTGATTGAACCACAACTACTCAACAAAATCTCTAGAACATATTTGATGTTCAGTAGTATTGACTTTGATCAATTATTTATTGAAGATCGAAATCTTCGAGTAAAGGCATTGAAGTTGATTGACACATGACTCAACTAAATCGTGATATTGTGTTGTAGTTGGCTCCAAAATTATTTTCATTTGAGTATCTTTTTAATAAAATGGTACAAAAT